AATTCTCGTCACATCCGGGCCGAGAACTGGCAACTAATTAAAAACGGTTGTATTTAAAAATTGCTGACTACATCATTTCAGTTAGATATTCCAAACGAATTTAATAGATTATGTGTAGTTGGTTTAACTATACATTTTTGTAAAATATCTATAACGATTTTAAACGTATAACTATACACAACTACAACTACAACCACAACTATGTACAACTATAGCTGTTGGTTTAATTATAAAGTTAATTATTATTATTTAACTTTACAGTTCACATTACACTTTTCTTTATGGTATTATTATTATTTCAATTTTCATTGTTTCAAGTAATACAAATAAAAGATTATACTTATTAGGAAACCTGGAAGACTATATTTGTCTATTACACATAATGTTATAAACTAAGTCAGACTAAATTATAATTATATGGGTGCTAAAATCATTACTAAACTTTTAATCTTTAATAAAACAAAGAATAGTGATATCAAGATTAAAAAAAAATCATAAATGAAAATGCCAATGTTTCAGGGATAGTCCAGTTTTCTGCTATAGTGCTATCAATACAATTTTGATCTGATACACAGCACCTACAATATTTACTTATACAAACATATAATATATTATTACTATGTTACATAGTATAATATGAATTATATATATTATTTTAAACTTGATATTATCAAGTATAAACTACTTTTATCTACCTCAAACACCTTGAACGTGTCAATAAGTAAACCATCATTTAACAGTTACTTAACTAGGTATTGGAAGAAAAAATAGTTTATTAAAATTAAATTCAATGTCATATATACTATTTTAGCTTCGACGTTTTTAATGAATGTGTTTAATTAGTGAAGGACACTACAAAATTAAATATACTTTACAATAAATGTATACAGCCGTACAGAATAATATGTTACATGATATATATAATATAACTTAAATACTCTAAAACACGTTGAGCATAAGGTATTATGGGCAGTGTTCTGGTGGAAATAGGCGTAGAATAAACTTGTCCGTGCTAGGTCTCTAGGCCAGTTAGCAGTCGCTGTAGTAGAGAGTATGTGAGATGATGAGAGTATGGCTGCAGTGATAAATCATAATTATGCATTTTTTCCCTTTGGTTTTGTTTATTTTTACAACTTAACACGGCAAATTCAACCATAATATATAGCTGGTATTAGGTTGACGCAACTAAAATGTCCAGTAAGTTCCAATTATATACATATAATTAACTATTTCAATTTAGTACTCCAAACTATACAAATATATTGTGTCCCTATACTAACCATACATAATGGTTGTCACAACTATATAGTTTTTGACTATAATTGATAACAATATAAAAACCTGAGGGCTGAGTGGAACCCATCCTGCGACATACCTCATTTTACTACATTAAAAATTGAAGGGCTACTAACCCGTAATTTCTAGTGTGAAAACTAAATTCAACAAAATTTCATAGAAAAACAGAGGAGAATATTATCTAAGCTTCAACGTGTCAATTGTTTGATAGTTCTAATCATTTTTTTTCTATGAATTTTTAAAGATTGGGTTGAATTAAATCAATTATTAAAAATTAGTGGATATAGTTATCGAAAATTTTAAAACGCTCATGCACAGATTAAGTTCTTCTATATTTACTGTACAATTTGGGGTTTTTTACAATTCCAATATACTTTAGTTTTGTTATAAAAATTGTATTTATTTTCTATAGAAATGATGGTTTTGCAAAAAAAAAAAAAACAACCAAATAATGTAGTATTAATATGTAATAAGTAAGTAAGTGTATAATATAATTGTATATAATTATACACTTTAGTTCTAAATGAAGATTTTGCAAAAAATTAGCTGTACTACGCTCCTTAAAAAATGGGTAGATAGCATCCTCCTAAGCAATTAACTGTAAAATAAAATTAAGTTCTAATTTCGTTTAAAAACCGTTGTGTTCAAATATATTAGAATATTCATTTACAATTACCATATGACGCATAAATTAACAACAATGTACTATATAAGTCATATATTGCTGTAAGGAAAAAATAAATAGTTAAAAATAATTGTCGTTGTAAAATATTATTTTACATAATATGTATAGTGTAAATGATTTCATATTTTTTTAAGAAGATTCAAACGGTTGACTTTTACATGTAAAATATATAAATTATATATCATATTATTTGATTTATACAAGTGTCCTTAAACCAGATTATTAAACTGTGATGAATTGATTGTATCTGCATGTGTTCTATATACTCTTGCAAATTGTAAAAAAAAAAGTAGTGTATATTCATTAATTTTAATTGGTTATCGAGTTAAACCAGATTTATATTGAAAAATTACACACCGTATGCATTAAGATTTTCTATTTTTTTTTTCATGCTAAGAGTATTGTATGTTTTATGTTTCTGGTCATTAGGTTTATACATTTTTTTTAAAATTTTTTTTTTTTTTTAAACATTTTATTGGTAAAACAAACAATCTGTAATTATTATATTACAATAAGTCCGTAAGCGGAAATAATACAATGACTTAGATACACATGAATAAAAGCAGCCGCCCTATGGCGGCACTCTTTAACTTGAGTGGTTTAGGTATTTTTTTATTTAAACGGTCAAAGGTCGAGTGTAAATAAGTGGGAGAGGTAAGATCGACCATGTTGTAATAAGGTGATGAAAATTAAATAGTAAAAACTAAAACGGGTAAGAGAGGTTTGTAAATGTTAAGAATAATGTAATTGGGAATGATAAGGACATACTAATAATTATAAATTAAAATTAAATTAAATTATCAATACTTAAGCGAATTAGTAGTTGTCGGTGTAAACAGGCGTGATTAGACGCAGGCCGGAAACTGGTAGCACTGTCGCCGGACAAGGATGCGACCACCTACAGCAGTGGAATGCTAAATAAAAAAATCATTTTTAAAAACTAGTATGATACAAAATAAAACCTAAAAGAAAAGTAGCATTTGGATTCTGGACTTTGGAGTTGCAACAATTTATTCATTCATGATTCAGTCTTGCTTTTAAAATTAAACTTAATTTTAATTAAATTAATACCATTTTGGCCACCGTTTTTTTTTACAAAATATACAATATTTTTTTTAACAAAATGTAGCTGTGAAATTAGCTAATTGGTTATCGTTTTAAATGATAAAAAAAGTATAATAAAAATGTTATTTACAATTTGTTATTATTGTACAGTTATAAATTATAATTATAAAAGTTATGTTATACAGAAAAAAATAAAAAGTTGGGCCGACTAAATTTTTAGTTAAAGCAACTATACATTTAGTTGGAGCAATTGTGTTTTTTCCGTGGTTAGTTAAGCATTTATAACTTAAAGTATTTTATTTTTATTTAACTGTTTTAATCACATTGGCTATACTTTGAAAAAAATGTCTTGTTAAAGAAATATCATAATCATGGGTCTTTGTTTACCTTTATTTTTTTCCTTGGCTGTTTTTATCGATTATTTTATTAGACACAATTTTATACGAAGATTTCGTTAAATCAACAGAGATTTGCGTTTGCCCATAGCGAGTATAACTATAGTCTGACGAGGATTCTGCGGGAACTGCAGTTATGTTACCTTAACTTAAGTTTAGACGTGACATACTTAGTGGCCGTGTCTTTAATTTAGGTTAACTCAAGCACATATATTGTTTAATAACTTTAATATTATGCTGTTAAGTGGTTTGGTCTTGTGTTGCAACAACAGCATTCGGTAACAGTAATGATGTTTAATGCCGAATGAATTTGGTTATTGTAAAATCATTTGTATAATAGCCGAATGTTGCATGTCATTTGTCAAAACTAGATTTGATTATATAATAACAGCGTTTTGGGTAAAATTCGAACAAAGAAAAAATATATTATTTTCCATATTATTACTAATTGGTGAGAATCGGTGTATTAAATAGAAAAAACAAGTACTATATAATATACTAGTAGCTAGTCTCCTTCTGAAATAATTAACACACGCGCAAAATATTAATTAAATATTTTGTAGATTGTCGTGTACCTCGGTCACGAGGATTCTATACGAAATAAAATACTAAAAACATATGCATGGTATATACCTATGTAAATTCGTCGTATCGGTAGCGATAATCAACGACGGAGACGCGCGTAAGACGGACGGTCCAAAGAGAAGAACCGAAAACGTGACAGGCGTGACAGCGTATACACAGCCCGAGCTATGTAGGTATGTATGTACCTAATACTTATATAATCTAAGACTATATACCTACACACACAGTATGTATGTATACGGTATGTACATGGAGTTGCAGGCGGCGGTGGCTGTGTCGTTGCATAAATCAACGGGTTTTTTTTGATGGGCGTCGGTCCAACCAGGGTGCGGTGCTCGGCGAGGGTGCGTGCGCAGAGACACGCGGTATGAGTGTGCTGCGGTACTACTATTGTAATAATATACACACTGTGTATAATACCGTGTGCATGTATCCGGCCAAAGCATTAAAAACCCACTGTCGCCCCGTGGTCGTGGTCGTCATCGTTTTTACAGCCGTCTCTCCTATGAGACGGCGTTTACTCGTCCCCGTCGGCTCGCCGGCCGACAAATATGGAAGGGCGGCCGTGTATAGGTGTACTATACGGGCGATTCGACTGAACCCGCGGCAGAGGGGTGTGTGGTGCGGCGGAGAGGGGGAGGAAAAAAGTGTAAAAAGGGGGTTGCCGCCGCAGCCGTGAGGGGGTCGTAAAATGGCCCCCGACGTTTTAGATTTTTATTGCGATCGCCCCGTGTGTAAAATGTACATTTGTGTGTGTGCGCGACGGTGAGAGTCGTACGCCGTGTGTATGTTATATATATATATAAATATACAAGGGCGAGGAGAGAGAGAGAGAGAGAGAGAGGACGTCTTATACAACACCCCCTTTGGGTTTTTGCGCCCCTTCCAACGGGGCGGCGGGTCCGCGGTGAGAGCGTTTTTGCCGGCCGCCTTCGTCGCCGCTACTCGGTTTCGCACCCCGGACGCGCGTGGACGAACGCCTGCGACCCTCAGGACTCGCCGGCCACACTCACATAATATAATAATATAATACTTGTGATTATATGCAAAAGTTCGGTGCTGTAGTTCGGTCCAAGTACGCTGTCCCACACCGTTTCCCGGCAGCAGTATCCACACACACGTGAGTACTTTAAACAACTATACAATTTATGTACCTACATAGCAGGGATATGGGCAAAATGTATCGATAAGTCTAATTTGGCTTGATCGATTGTATTGCTAATGTAAATGGAATTTTGGAAGTATGTTTAGTTGTATTGAGATGCAATTTTATATAGGCGCGCCGTGATTTATGGGTAATCGAGATTTTCTGTATCTTGTATCAATGTCCACCACTGTACATAAGTACCCATCAATCGTTCTATCTTCAGAGTGCCGCGTTTTTCTTTAAGAACCGAGTTACTAACTATTTTGGCGGTCTACTTAACTCATAACAACTAGAACTATATGGTTATGATCAGATACACTGCGATCGTCCCCCACCCTTCCGCCACTTCCTTCACGCACATCTTTTGTACATCAACGCACACTATTGCCGCCGCCTCCTATTATTGACTCTTCCTCCGCCTTGCTTTCGCTTTCCGTTCTCCTTCCCTGAGAGATAACTCATTGGCGCAATGTATAAAAAATAAATACCGGTTCAGCGCCGCCAATCGATATGGACACAAGCATCGTGCGTGGACGTCCAAGAAAACGTTTACTGCGAAAGGAGTCAAGATTGCTATGTGATTACAACCGGGTAGCCATGATTGTTACAAAACCAGAAAGAAATATACTTGGAAATAAGTTTAACTTTAAGTACTAGAGAACCTGGACATGAGAATACCCGAGAGTTAGTAAAGTTTGAATTTTTTTTTTTGTATTATCTTCATAGTGGCTAGCAGTTTTGACTCGTTGAACAGAACGTGTGTATATGTCTCGTTCAATTCGTTTTGGCAATCCTCAAATAATTGTATTAAAGCAAATGAACCGCTGCCAATGTCTTACGTCACCATTACCGTCTTATTGAGTGATGTCTTATATTATAGTTATGTAACTTCAACAATAATTTTAGCTACATTATTCTACCGGTTTTTCTATGGATTTTTTTAAAAGAAGCATCAGTTAAGAGCATTGTCCATCGATTCTATACATTTTAATAACTTAACCTATAAACACTTGGTCGTTTAGGTGGGGAGGGGGGAGTTCGATAGATTAGCGTCATCGTGCAGTGGAGGGTTCATATAAATGACTTGCCTAAAAGCATCAATTATTATGACGTCCAAACTCTCATCGTTAACAATATACAACATTAATATTGTAAAAATATACAATTACTACCAATACTCTACCACTGCCATTAAACATGTATAATATGCTAACCTCGTATCAATTGAAATGTCACGTCATACCCGTATAAAGCAAAGTCGATGATATAACCGATTACTATCGCACGCAAACTTCCATGAAGTCGCTACAGCGGCCATTGCTTTATGCTGCAAATGAGAACAAGTAATCATTTGAAACTTGTGTGAGGCGCATGACTCCAAGTCTGTGCGCCGTATTATAATAATAATTATGGTTTATATTGGACTTATATGTCCAATATGATTTATATTGGTTTACTATTGTTCAACAAAAGCATGACGCTTCATTTATGATAAGTAGATATATAGGCTACAGTTGTATAATTTATTATTCCAATGTCTTCAATGATTTTCCCAAATGTATAGACTTATTTAAAAAGGAAAAATATTACATCCGTCTATAACTATGAACTATTAAGTTTGACAAAAAATGTTAGCCAATTGTTATTTTTCTATATTGCCATTTAATGACCTCAACCTGGGCATGCATGTTTTATTTTACAACAGTTTAGTTTCAATTATTGTAAATCAAATAATCTAATTTTAAGGTCCAAATTCTCTTTCTTCTTCTTTACCTAAACCCCTACAAATGGTGTAACTCGACTAAATAATTTATCGTTTGTCTCTCGTCAAAACTCTTAACACACAAATATCTCTTGCCCTTTTTACTAACTCTTTACCTCCATTCTTTCAACATGCCAAAAAACCATCTCAGCCTGTTCTCTCTCGTTTTCCCTGTTATACGAGCCCCACTTCTACTTAAGTAATACTTGTTTTTAATTCTGTCCAACCTAGCCACTACAAGTGTCCATCTAAACGTTCTCCTTTCAGTTATTTTCTTGTTCCTTTCATCTCTAACACTCGCTTTTATACATCTTGGCCCTTACTATAGTTTTATAAAATGTTCCTTTCACTCCAAGCGACACAATTTCTTATATGTTATATAATGACCGTCTCATCAATCAAGTTAAACTTTATTGTACAATTATATAGGCTGTAAACAGATAAAACAAATACTGTATTTATAATAGTTTAGAGGCACTTAGGTGTTAATCAGAATAATAACACATCCATATAATTATTATCGATTCTGGGAATACAGTCAGATGATAAATCATAATTTTATGTTACTAATTTCTCCAGCTAACCGTAGAAGGTTCAATTTTTTTTTGTCATATTGTAACCGAGAAAAGGGTAAATGTGCACAATTATTCTTTGTATAGTCTGCGGCGTCATCGGGAAAAGTAGGTCAAGGCGGTATGTGTACCCGTTTTATATGGGCAAAAAATAATAACATGCCTAATATAATATATTATCTATAAAAGGATATGTGGTCAACTTGTGTGTACACACGCGTACATACAATATGCTGTAGCCTTTATCCCGAAGAAACAAAAAAAAAAGTGTTTAAAGTGACCCTTGTAATGTGCGTGACCTTAAGAGGGTATAATAATATTATGCGATTCTTTCAGTCATATCATCGCGCGCTCGCACGTACACTCGAAAGAGAGAGTGCAAAAAAAATTAAGAGAAAAAAAATGTTTGAAAGAGAATTTATGGCATTTCTTCTTTCCCGACTGACCCATTTCTCTTTATCATATTATCGTTATTATCTCATGTTACCCCTTTTATATGGGGGAAAAAAATAATTCTTATTTTGCCATTTACAATCTATTCGAAAACTATAACAGTGCATTACCATAACTTTCATATCGTCTTTAACGGAAATAACTCAAAAATAGCTTTATTTTTTGTTGAAAATGTGCATATGGGTCTAAGCATTAATAAAATATATTATTTTACGGGAAACGCAACACACTAGTTTATTTCCTGTAATTATAATTAAAAAAGTATTTAGTTATGTTGCCGCTACTAATGTAATGAACTGCAAGGTTCAAACAAGTACTATCTTGTGCAGCGGAAAAATGTAGTTAAAACACCAAAATAGACTTACTAACACACAAGACTGTCAAGATAGGTTTGATTAAATTTAATATATTTAATAAACGTTTACCACAGACAATAACTTTACTCTGCGGTTAACAAGATAAACAATTGAACATTTACTGATTGTTCCTCCTAAAAGAATAAACTGATACCTACTAAAAAAGAGTAAAAACTAAAAGCATTTTTTAATACTTATTGAAAACAAGTATTAACGTCAGATAACAAGAATTGGTAAATGCTTATATGATAAATAAGTATTATATAATAATTTTAAGTTGCCCAAAACATTAGTAAGCGTAAATCATACTCTACGTGCCATGGTCGTAACATTAACTCAAAGTGACCTGACCATTACACTAACGAGTAATACTAATTAATATAGTAATAATAAATAATTAACAAGCTATTAACGATTAAATTATAATTAAATTATTCCGTTAAAAAGTCAATAAGCGATAAAATGGTAATTTTTATAGTTTATTAAATTTAATATTTTTTGCTCTACTTATAGTAGATATAATATGTTATAAAAAAAAATGTATTTGAAATATAGGTATGGACAATGCACTAGATAAAACACTGGAGTCATCTCCGACAGTAGATCATAAAATAATTACATTTATTTAGGTAAAGCTTAAGATCCAATATTTCCTATGGTGAAGTACCCTGGTCCTTGCACTGGTGTTGTTGAGTACACTTTGAATACCTATAGTTTAAGTTTTTGTACAATTTTTACTGTTGTTATGATAAAATATACTGGTTACAAAATATCTTTCTTAATTTTTTTCTCTATTAACATAATATACTATGTTGGAAATAGCATAATTCTACAACAAACAATACTAACTAACCTTCTCAGTTTCAATACAATAAACATAGTAAAAGTAAAATTTGCATTTTATAGTAACGCATCATAACTAATTAGGCATTAATATGCCTAAAAAGTATATTATTTAATGTGGTATTTAATACCCCACTACATTATTATAATGTTACATACAAACTAACCATAGCGTTATTTTGGTAGGTACAATAAAAGAATAAAAAAATGTCAGACCTGTTCGCCAAAGCAATAAAGTAGGTATGGTTCCACCTTCGGTGTGTGCGTCAAATTCAATCATAATTACTTTATGGTTTATTAAAAATTGAATTTACACTTAAATCGTGTGTCGAGCGGGTTCATTTAATTCCTCTATGATGATCAGGTTTTCGTTTTGTAATAGAAGTTATTCGACGCTTTCCTTTGCGTGTGCAATATAATACAAACACACGGAATCGTTCTTTGTGATAATTCGGACTATTGATGCTTTAGTGGTCTGCGAGCAATCGTTGATAGGTACAACCATTTGCTAACAAAAATTATAATATCATTTTATAAGTTCTACATATTAATCAGATTCGATGGTCAATAATGTGTCTGCTGTGTCATATTTTTAAAGTGCAATCAATTTTTGGAGTTTATCTCGGTACGTAGAAATGTTCAATTTTGTTTAATACCTACATAGAATAGGGCGAACGAAATTTTTATATCTTAACTACTATTTTGCTGTAATATAATATTTTGTCTTGTTATGTGATACTTTAGAAAGTAAAATAACGTCAATGTGAATATTAATTAAGTCATTTATCTCTTTAAAAAAAAATAACACGACTTCAGAATAATCAAATAATATAAAAACTTTGTCTACGAGTTCGCCTGAACTACGGGGAGGAATATAAAACCATTTTGGCAGTTTTGTTTTGGATTTTGACCTTCGGCGCAATTCCTTGGAGTATAGAATTTATAGCATATTAAATCTAAATATAATACGTTTAATTACAAATTATA